ACGTCAGTGATGTCACCGCCTGGAGCCAGTTGTTTTGTGTCATGTGTGAATGGTAGTGCAATCAAGATGCACTGCAATGTCCTACTGACCTAGTACGTGTGATGCTGAGCATTTTGATTTGGACCAATCTTGAAGACTTCCCAAAAAGGTCGACATGTATGTGCTTACAACTTTTCTGTGATATCTCGCGTGGATCAACCCGCTATGAATTTTATTGCAAGATATTTATGCACGATGCAATCCACCAAACAATCCATTTTGGCCTCTAGTTCATATGGCCTATATACATCTGTGGACTCAATGTGTTTTGCCTGTGTGTTTAATATATGTGATATGTGCAGGAGAGCTGAACCGCAGTGCTTCGACAGCGTCTACTGTGGCTGCATCAGCGGAAGAGCTGCGTGCGGCCTTAGCACATACACATGGTTTTCGCACACCACCAAGCAAGATTCGCAAAACCCATAGTACTGGCCCAGAAGAGCCTAGCAGGGAGAAAACCGAACTTGCAGGTGGTAGGAGAGCTGCCATGGTGAAAAAGGAAACCAAGATGGCTCGGGGGACTGTGAAATGCCAACCGGCTCAGCCTGTTGCGCCAGCAAGTCAGCCTGAGACAACCTTTGCACAGCCAGTGACTCTGCCGTCGAATCAGATCACTCAGACTCAGCCAGCTCCTGAGCCTGCACACACGGCCAAGAGGCCAAAGATCACTGCAGCAAAGTCATCAGCGGCTCCCAAGCATGACACCAGTGACACATCAACTGCACCCGCAATTGCAAAGTCTGAGCCACATGAGGGTGTGAAGACACCAACCACCCCAGGCCCTCTGAGCGCCGTCAGGGAACGGCATGTTGCAGCTGCTGCTGTGGAGAACTTGAGACGCCCAGATTCGACCCAGCAGTTGAACCAAACTGCAACTCCGACTCCTAGTGCTGGGGATGTTCGGGAGTGCAGAGACCCCTTGGAGGCTCATATCAATGGGTTGGGAGGTCCTGCCACTCTTGCACATGATGATGACACAGCTGATCCTGGCACTGATCAGGTGGATGAACCTGAACACGATGAACCTGCGCATGAGTCTAAACGTGAGGAACCTGTGGATCCTGCACCTGAGCCTCCTGCAAAGAAGACCAGGCGACCAAAAACAGCACAGGAAAAAGCCAACCATGCGAGGTTCATGCGCTTCACACGCCACATCCAAAGTCACTAGGTTGCATGCATGCATATTTTTATATTACATGAATTATATTGCATAGAATCCGATGTGAGCAGGCGATGTGAATGTTAGCAATTAATTGAGTCTAATTTTGCACGTGTCGCTTCTACATGAGGGCATCTTACATGGTATGATCGATCGATCACGAATCGTACTAGTTGGAAAAACAACTAACGACTCTTCCTGGCAACATTATATTACATGGATTGATCTTTTAGGGGGCGATTGATTTTCCCAAGACCAGGTCGGCTTAGCACCTGCATCTCAGGCCATGCACCACCAGAGATTCAGAAGATCCACAAGGCTTCACGCTACAGTGACTTGCCTATGTTTGTGTGTAGGTGCATTGGAGAAGCTTTTTTGGCATGGTCAGGATTTGGGGTCAAACAATTCGTTGCACATGCCATGCCAGCCATGCCACTTGAAAATCCAGAGTCCAGACCTGTGCTTTCCGACGTTGCGCAAAGCTGTCAGTTTCACAACCTTCGGGAAACATACTGCCCAGGTGTCAACCCATCTAAGTCCATGTTGACATGTTGTTGACATGTTGGGTCTAGCATACATGTCACGTATATACGTGTATACGCATGCACGCATGCATGATTATGCATATGCATGCATGCATATGCATGTGCAACATTGAATCCTTTTGGCATGAGTCCAGTACTTCCCTAGCTCAGGTTCTGGCAAATTGCAGCTGCTTCTTGAGGAGTGGTTGACGACAGGAGGGGATTGGAAAAGCTCCTCTCTGTATCAGAAAATCACCTCCCGGAAATCCGAGAGGAAGTACGGGGCCCGGGTCTGGCTCACGAAAGCCCAGCTGATTCAGAAATACGGATCAGAGGCATTAGCCCAAGAGATCATTGACTCCAAGACAGCAGATGAAGAGACCCGTCGTACTCAAACAAAAGCGCATCCAGATGCGCCAGAGTCTGAGGCTGGACATGTGCATCATTGACATGTATGATCTTTGTTGAGGGGACATTGACAACTGGCTAGAACATCCGCAACTGGCTGACTTCATGTGATCTTGCCCTGGTGAACAGAATAGATCAAATCTAGATGAGCACTAGTGGTTGCACAATATTTCATTGGGCTCAGTTACTCAAATATTTTGCTAACTCTGTCGAACGGCAGAGCTTTAGCATAGCTGTACATCGATCGCCGCATGAAGTCAACAAAGCTCTTCCTGCTTGCAGGCCTTAAGGCTGTACCTCGTCTGGGATTCCGAAGGAATCTCCGAGAGTGAAGACACGATTCTGGAACAAATTTTTGAGGCAGCAGATGCAGATTCTGATGACGACGGCTCAGGGAAGTCCGATGGTAAGAAAAAGAAATCAGGCAAGAAGGACAAAAAGAAGAAGAAGCGCAGTTCAAGTGGGTCAGTGCAGACTGTTTCCTCAAGTGGCTCATCAGAGGCCAGTGTGTGAACACTTGATCCAGCATATATGTGCTGTGCATGCATGAATGAATGCGTTCTATACTTGTGGGTTACAGAATTAGATGTGAGCCCAATCCAGAATCCCAAAGTTTCATATTTGCTTGACACCAATCTAATATAATATGCATATATCTCCTGGGATTGATTGCTTTGATCTATGCTCATAATTCTGGTTTGATTGTCCCACACAATGTTCCGCACATTGCACATGTGACAGAAGAAGAAGAAGAAGAAAAATAAGCGAGGAAAGGGTGGCAAAGCAAAAAAGGAGACCAAAGAACAGAAGGACAAGCGATTGTTAAGGGAGAAGGAGAAACGCACCAAGGAGGAGCAGCGTGAGAAGGACAAGGAAGAAAGGGAAGTTATCGCAAAAGCCAGAAAGGCAGGTCTGCACATTTGGGGTTGCATGTTGATAAACGTGCAAGTCATTCGAACCCTGATCGATTCATATGTATCGAATATTGATCAATCGATCACTCAATTTCTTACTTCCTTTAGATGGCAACACCACACACAGACATATGTCCGTTTCACACACACCGTTGCTTTTGGTCACGCTTCCCTGTTTGCTTGATGCGCAGACCTTGCACAAGATCAATGACAAAGTCACCCACGCCTGCAAGAAGGAAAAGATTGTGGCAAATATGTCCGGGACCTTGAGGGGAGGCGGTGAAGGATGGAGCATGGGTGCATGCAGTTATGGAAAAAACTCGTCCCAGTGAGTTGGAATGTCATATTGTCAACTCAAACGATTTGAAAACTGTTCTGGGTTTGATGTCCTTCGCTTCTATATACTTATACTCCCAGGTCAGGCTTGGTGCAACAGTTCCATCTTGTTTGCTGCGGGTTTGGTGGTTGTCAACTGTGGTTCACGGCTTGGAATGCAACAACCTGTCCCCCACTTTGTATAAATATGTGGGCCCGCTCGACTATCTCGAGCTTTCACGGTATCTAACATCAATCACGCCATGGCCTGTTCTTTAAAGCTTTGATTGAGATGGTCGTGTTCATGTGACTTAGGTCTCACATGTTTTTCTTGAGGATGCTTTTGTTGGGTTCTCGGTCGTCTTGGTCCTTTTGTTTCCCAGCTAGTTCAAATCTGACATGAACACACTGCATGACTATGATGTTTTCTGTTATGAACACATACACCGGTTTAATGTGGGCCAGTATTGGTTGGAAAGCTTGTCCCCAGGCCCCAGGTCTGCCATATTTGTAGCAGGTCCCTCAACTTCTCATCTATTATCCACTGATGTTCAAACAAGCATCCTTCCCCCTTACGTTTGCGCATTTGTCCAAATCCAGTCGATCCTTTTGGGTTGATCTCCCAATGACATCCACTTGTGTCACGTTGCATTCAACTATACTGTCGCTGATAAACTCACCATGCCCCAGCTCTCCCACCAACCCAACCCCCACCATTCCGGGGCTGTCCGAGACTTGCATCATCTTCAGGCCTGGGCCGCTGCGCAATGCAATCGAGGGTGAGCTGCTCGAGTTCCGGGGTAAGTTGATCAGGGCCCGGGATGTTCTGCAGAAATCCATTGACAGCTTGAAGGCCACTTGCATGAGTTACGATCTTTTGGAGAATGGTCGCATCAAGCCATCATGATTGATATGATGATACCATGTTAGCTTTTGGCCAGCACATGTGCTATGCAACTAAGGTGTCCGGATTGGCAGATTTGATCAGTGATGGTGATCGATTGGAGAATAGTTTTAGAGATTTTCTGACACGGGTAAACCTAAAATAGTAGGATTGCCGAATGCTGGGGCTGGCTGCGTTTATCAAAGCTGTAGCGCTATGTTTGCATAGGTTTGCAATGGGTGGAGGTTTGGGGGATCAATGTTACCATTACCCCATGCAAAATGTTTTGCAATCCAACCACCCAAACAGCAAAGTGTGTGCTGCTCAACCTGGAAACCCTCAAACAACGGAACCCAACCTCCACCAGGGGAGTCAATCAGGCAAGCGACGCCAAACAGCTCGCAGACCAGCATTTTTTGAGATGATGCTACGGTGTGAGTTCCACTTTGATCTGGAGTGGTCAATGTGGGGCATTTCTAGTACCAAAGATGATCTCAGGCCGATCTAGATAGACGTTGGCGGCTCTTGTGCGGAAAAACAATTTGACATATCACCTGGACGACGAATCTGATAATAATTGATCTGGCTTCTCATATATCATCACCTTCCAAGCAATCTCAATCAAATTCTCCAAGTTGCTAGGATCGATGGTACCATCTTGCAAAATTTATGCACGTTTTTCTTTGCATGATGATCCAATAATCGGATCATTGTTCACACATCCAAAATTTTACCTGCAATCGGCTGTCCCCGCGCAGGTGCTGATGACGATGAGGATTTCATATCTGCATCGCTCCAGAATGCCATCCAGGAAATTAGCAGTGGAGTCCTTTGGCTATTATAGACAGATACCAATGTTCTCAAGCCTTGAAACATGAATGTCATATATTGTGTTGGATTGAACTTCGATCTATATAATAGAGTGACCAATCTTTGTTGATGGGTGTCTCAACTATCATATCTGTCATTGAACCTGACCAGAACAATGCACGTTTATAGGGATCGAATGTTGTTAATTTATAGACCGATCGACATGCAAACTATATGTTGGCCCCTGGACAAACACCCCACCATGTTGCCGCATGCTGAGGGCTCGACTGCCGGCAAGCAGATGCGGGCTTTGAAGGCTCACGCGCAAGCTCCTTGTCCACAGCGTCTCAGGTTTGTTGGGAGGCTGGTGGATTGGGTTGATGGGGGATTGTTCGAGCTATGTTATATGTAGCTCACCGCGCTTGTGACAAACAGAGTTCATGACTTCAACTCCCCCAGCTGGATTTGGCCCTGGTTTAAGCCATGGGGTCTGAAGTCAATTGAGGAGGCATGTCGCTTTGTGCCATATTAGTGGTTTGAAATGTGGGACCTCGAATGATTGGTTTGTTGGATGATTCATGCCCTTTTTTGATGCTCACCCCAACATATCATTCCTATACTATAGAGTGTAATGGTCATGCGTGGCCATGATTATTATCGACCTGAGTTCACTGACATGGACAGGGCATGTGTTCATTGTTTGGCCATGCATGTATTAGAAGGATCTCTTATAGCAACTGCTGAGTGAACATCAAACTTGATCAAAGCTTTTGGGCATACTGACCGGCATAAACAAACCCTCCACTTATGACCCAGCCATCAACCCACCACTTTGCACCCACCAGGATTCGGCTCAACCCTATGGCCATCACAGCATGACCAAGCGGCTGGGCCAGATGTCTGGGAAAAACAATTCCCGGGATTGGTGGAGAATGATGAAGGATGGCCCAGTGACTGAGTAAAATATGGCAAAACTGTCAAATATATGTTTGAACGATATATCATATTATCGGTCATATCGGTATCGATCGAATAATTTGTATTTTGGTGCTGTTTGTCAATTACAGGTCCTTTTTGGCAAACTTTCTGCTAAGCCCTATCCCTATAGTCTATGCTAGGTTCTGGCTGAACATGGTCAGTCACATATTCAACTGACCATGCAAGGCAATTGAACAGATCTTGCTCCCCATCAAATATACAGACCTGGACGACGGTATTGACAAATTTAAGTTGGAGACCTGGCCTGTCATGGACCCGCATTCGATAGCACACTTCTTGTTTGAGCACGCTGGACTCCAGATTCCAGCGGCAAGCTTGAGGGACTACTGGGAATTTCATTCCCAGCACGGTGAGCACTGGGCACAAGGGGTGCCCTTTGATGCAATGCCAATTGGTGTGTATGGTGACGGCGCTCGTGTCAACACAAAGTTTGGCAGCACGAACTTGGTTGGGATCTACTTCAACTTCCCGTTGTGGAAACCAGGTTCGGTGAGAGCATCTCGCTTCCTTGTGACGGTGATTACAGAAGAGAAGCTCTGGCGACACTACACTCTCAACTGCATTCTACGACGTTTGACCTGGAGTGTCAACTGCTTGCAAGAAGGGCATCATCCAGAACGCGGGCCTGGAAACCAACTGCTGCCGAAGCACCTTGAAATGCTTGCGGGAAGACCTTTCAAGTTCAAGTGCGTGTTGACAGAGATCCGGGGAGACTGGCAGTAGCACAAGCGGACCTTTCGTTTCTGGCGGTGCAGTTGGAATGGCAAGTATATTTGCCACCACTGCCCTGCACAATCCCAGTCAAACAGTTCCCAGGATCTGTACTGGTCGTATGAAAACAATACTTGGGATGCACACCACTTCACTGCAGCAGAGTTCTTGGAAGACCGGATGCCACCTGCTGGGATTTGTTTCTTGGATTTTGGATCCCGGTCCGTTTTCTCTCGATTTTGTAATATGTCTGTTGCTGCTTTGCTCATGATTGTTGTGCCAATTGCTCAGCAAGGTCCTGTGGTTGGCCTGAGAAACTTTCACCCCAGCCTCATACGCTGGTGCTTGATGCATGTGGTTCACTTGGGCCTGCTCTTTGTTTGTAATGGCTCAGGCCTGCCGCTCACCTGATAAGTGATCGATAAATTTTGTCGGTGTTTGTTGGAGAACAGAGTTCTTTGTTTGCACCTGCCGTGCATCACAAGCCACCTGCAATGCTTCTGCCCATCCTGCTGGCACATGCTGTGTCGTGATGATTTGCTTCCTGCAGCCTTCTCAGGAATCTCCTGCTTCGATGTGGCTACTTTGGCAGGGACGACGTTTCCATGGCCATCAAGCTTTCCAGGGCATTCGTAGCTTTCAAAGCTTGGATGTCGGCCAACAAGGTTGAGTGTTCCCAACCACCGTTCACAGAGAAGATGGTCCCTTGTTGCTTTTAACTCAGTCAGGTTTGTAAATTGTTTTTTGGTTACCAGCACTTATATTTTTGCACACCTCCTGTTCGATTTTGGTGGGTGGAGTTTGGCCATTTTGCTCAGCTCTTCAAGAAGAACTCGGACATCCTGCTAACCAGCAAAGCTTACAATGGGCGAGTGGTCGTGCAGTGGTTGTCCCATGAAGTGCACCTAGCAAGCACTTCGCCTACCTTCTCAGCATATGACCCACGATTCTTCGTCATTGTTGCTGCATTGACACTCATTTTCATATAGTAGTGTTTTGTTCGAAGGTCTCTTTTGAGCCCTCCAATCCAAACTCAAGAACTATGATATTAACATCAAGGACCTTATAGTGGACCATGTACTTCGATCGACCGATATGTGTTGCGCAAGGGCTGGTGGGTTGGATCCGGTATGGTCGGTTGTCGTCCTCGTGGGGTTGTTCCCTCCGTCCTGCACGTGCCAAGGAGACGAATGGCAAGATTCCTTTGCGGGCTTGAACGAGCTGGCCGCTATTTGACACTTGGTAGTGCGCACTACTTGTGTGGCAGGGGTGGGTGACTTGATGTACACCATGAAAAAGAAACACACAACAGTTGTCCCATGTGCTTTAAGATTTGGTTGTGAATTGCAGCCATGATTGAACTATATTGAACTGGTGTCATAGAATTGTTCAAAGTCACAACTTAGGACCCCTGAAGAATCTGAATCCATTTTTGAAGATGGCTACGCATTTTTGAAACACTACAAGTGCCTGACCCTGATGTCTTTGAGGCCTGGTGATGGTGTTCATGTTGAAACCTTTGTGGCCAATCAATCCTTTTTCCCAGCGATACCCGGACACGAACGTCTGGTAATGCTCACTAGGCTTGGAATGCAAGAGTGGTTCATGAAGCCAAAGTGCCATGCATCTTTGGCTGCATGCAAAGTGCAGGTGATTCATGTCTGTTCTAATCGATCGAGTTCCCACGAAAGATGCACCTGCCAGTGTCAACAGCATACTTGCGAGTCAGATCAGCTGTGGGATCTTTTAAACTTTCCCTCATACTTAGGCCTTGTGGCACCTATTGGTCGGCATTCGTGACAAAAGAGCCTAGCCCAACACCTGTTAATGCAGTGATTTGGAACTCTGATATGCACAAATTTCCCACGTCTTGTGCCCTGCCCGAAGCAGCTGAGGAAGCAACCCTCGTTTCTTTCATGGCTTCGTCGACGAGGACGCGATGGCATGGATCAAGAGTTCCTTCCTTGCTTTGTGGTGTGTTCTATGTGCTGTGCAGTGAGTGGTTTCTGAGCCATGAGAAGCCCAATCTCTGCACTGGTTCAACTAAAGGCCACTCTTGGTCCAAGTTCAAACAACATAGCTAGGATTCTGTGATGGGTTTGTGGGTGAAGCGTGTACCCGTATACGTATACTATATTGGACATGCAGCTCAGGCACTTATTTGAAGGCCCACCCTACTCGTGCCATCCGCTGGATCATGCGGTGTGGAAAGCTCAGGACTGCGGGAAGGGTGACCTGCATGGATTAGTTGTGTTGCAGTGCTCGTTTAGTGCTAGCCACGACTAGGATCTAGCCGCCGCATCCATTGAACCGGCATGCAGGATTTGGGCATCTCATTTGAAGATCAAAAAGCTGCTTGGATCAAATCCTGGCTATAATTCATCCGACATCATCCAGCATAGACCACACACTAGTGGTTTCGCATATAGCGCTATACCTATCCTGGATTTGCTCTAGAGATCTGATTGAACTCATGAGTTCTTGCTCTCATCACTGAGGTTTAACCGGCACGTGGCTTTGCGATTGGCCCGCAAACGTGGATGAGAACGCTGGATCGTGTGTGAAGAGTGGAGAAAAGTTGCGCACTGTACTACCATGAATGCAGGTCTTGGCGTGAACCATGACCCCACAAACGAACAAACGAAGTTCTACTAACGACCTTTCTTTAAAAGGCTCATGGAGCCTCAGGGTATAGAAACCGATCAACGTTTGCAGTAGCCATCTTCCTCGCGCCAAAGCCAGTGGGATGGGAATCTGTTCGGCAGTTCACACAACGAACAGCTGCTGTTCTATGCTGTCATAGAAAGTCTGAAATGGTATGAAGGCTGAAAAACAGTCTTGAGACAAATGTCAGCCTGGCTAGCCCAAGAGCTTAGCTGCCAAGTGCTAAAGTTCTGCCAAGACCCGCTGGTCGAACGAGGTCGAGCTCAGCTGAGCTCCTGGACCAGGTTTTGTTGTCAGTCATTGACTTGAAAAAGTGTCCCAGACAACTCATTTTGCCAAGTAGGGACACATTTCACTTAGTCCAGTCTCCCTACCTCCCTCCTTCTCCGACTTTCGAGGGCAATCGCCTCGTCCCCCAGGACCCAGACTCTGTCTCACTCTGAAGTCTGACTTCTTATATCTCATTTTGCCTCCGTTTTGGTTGGGGGTTTGGTCAGCATTTTGGCCCCCAAACGGTGGCTGCGGGCACCTGAGCGGCATGCCTCGAAATGCCGGCGCAGGAGTCCAGGACTCTGTGGAATTTACTTTGCATACGACACGTATACGGTAGGCCATCTAAAAGCATCTATAGATGCATCTTAAACATGGATTTGATGCCAATGTGTATTCAATTTGTGCTGGTTGGTCTAGTCTTCAAGCAAAGCTGCCTCGCATGCACATTTTTCGCAGTGACACTTTTGATGCGCCGAACATCGTGAAATTCTCCCATCTGGAGAAATCGAAAAATCCTATATCGACTCCCCCAGGTCCATTTTTGCCGGGTGCAGTTCTTGATCGGGGTGATCCACTCACTGACTCAAACCTCAGTGACCACCCGTCCCAGGCTTAACGCATCCGGAGAAGAGCCTCCCCAGTGAGTGGGGGGCGCCCAAAATGGAACGCCGAAGGACTCGGTGGGTCGCAGAAGGGTCCGGTGTTTTGAACGTATTTGTTACAGGTCCATTGGGACCAGCCCAAAACCCAGAACCCGTTGAGCCTCATGAAGTACTGAGTTGGTTATAATTACGCCAGCCCAGAACCCAGATTCAAAAATCGGCAGTGTACCAGTGGCACCCTACAGCCGCACCAGCACCCATACTCCAAAGCGCGCACAGGCACTGTTTTCTATACTTGCAACGCAGCAGCGGCACCCTACAACAACACCCCAAATCCGAAGTGCCCACAGCAGCACCCAAGCTCTCAAGCGCACAAAGCAGCGGCACCCTTCAACAGCACCAGCACCCAAGCTGGCTAGAGCACACAGCAGCGACACCCTGCAGCATCACCACACCCAGGCTCGAAAGGACACACATGCAGCTGTTCTGGTCTTTTCCGATCAAAACAGGAGTCAAATGGGTTGCAGGTCCTTAATATTAATCAATGGAGATGTAGATATCTTATGAGAAGATGCTTCGCATGTGGATTTGGATCATGCATTTTGCGCCCAAGTCCAACGGTACGTTTTTCATCCTTTTTCAGCCCACGACGATGGCGATGGCGGCATCATATGCTAGATGACTTTACACCAAAGCCAAGGTCCCAGGGTCCACGATTGCATTCATTTGGTGTGGATGCCAAGGCTGAGGAGCTTCAGGGAAGCGTTGGTGGCACAAGACGCGAAGGGAGCGAAGGCAGTGGCTTTGGTGGAAGGGCAAAAGCATTGCTCCCTACGAAGTTTCTCTGGGGGGGAAGGCGTGAGGTGGCACAGGCTGCCGCAGGCTCCTACGGTCAGGTGTCTTGGGGAGTGTGCAAGCCCTCCGGTTTGTACAGCGGTGCTACTCATTGACATTTGCAGATTGCCGTGCAGCGCATTGCCTTGCATACTGAGTTGATGCATTTTGTGCCAAAGCCGGAGTGAACAACTTTGTAGGTTTTAAGGATGCAATGTGCGCCCTGCATGTGAGGATTAGGCCATGTGCTTGCTAAAGCTACGGCCACTTGTTGATTTTTTTAACCATAAGTTAGCCACTCTGACGTAAGGCTGTGATGGTTTTTAATTTTAGATCTCTTGTGTTTTCCTATACCTTTTGTGTGGGCAGTAAAGACCAATGCAGAGATACAAACGTGTCAAGAGAAGCAGAGGGTTCTGGGTGTTCAGCTCTTTTGCCCAGAAGCGGACATACAGATGCTGAACAATGCTGAAGATCCCAGGAGGTTGTTGAATGAACCTTCAAAACTGACTTGTTCAAAGGGTACGTACTACTTTGAGGTTTGACTCTTCGCAGACCGGTGATTTACATAGTAAATTTGGGATCTCAAAGGTCACGCAGCAACTCATGTCTCCCGTGTCTCGTTTGTTTGTTTAGCAAAGATGTATCTATATTCAGTGAACTAGACCCTAACTCCTCTTTGGGTGTTGCATTCTGTGACCCGTGTGGAGCGTTTGTGTGGAGCGTTTCAGAGTTTCGACCTTGTTTCGGCAGCCGTTTTTCGTGCGGTGGCACGTGTCAGGAGCGATGGAGGCGGCTTTGGCGCAAGCATGTGGAGGCAGGGACGTGGGCCAGAAGATGAAAAGTAGGAACCTCTTGTGGAAAGCGTGCTTGGCCTACTAAGCTGCCTTTTCTTCTTCCAAATTCATACTGTATCAATTAATGTCGTTGCTTCATCCAAGCTCTTATGAAAATTTATGTTTCAATTCTTTGTTTTCATGCAAGCCAGCTTCAGCAGGGCGAGCCTCCGCCTCCATCAGACTGTATGGACCGAATTCACGAAGCTTCGACGCTCACAAAGAAACGACCAAAAACACTGGTGCGCCATCGATCGAAGCTTGCCTTTGAGTGAGTTCGCCTTCCTGAATCCAGTGAAGTAGGCAACAAAAGTGCCTGCAAGGAACATTCTTGTGGAAAAACAAACTCTGTCGGCGACTGCGAAGTACAGACCGTCCGACCCCGTGAAGACCGACCCAATTTTCGTTTTTAAACGTTCCAGAGTTCACACATGATGCCTCATGATGCTTCACTATATGAGTACCCATATCATCCCACTGGCCACTGGCCACTATCCCTTTTTTTTCTGGACGTAGTTGTAAAAGACAGGGAGTAGATATTAATGTTGTTTTGATGTAGAGCGAACCACATCAGGACGGATGCGAAGTCTACCCTCAAGGCTTGCTATTTGTCGTCCACCAGCCCGGGCCCAGCCCCAGCCCCACGGCCCTGCCAGTTCGTCACGCACAGACCCATAGTTGAAAGAACCCTTGACAAGAAGACCTCAAACAGAATGACCACAGACACAAGTCAATCACTGTTTGGATGCCGCAGAAAGCCGTACTCAATGAGTTTTGCTTGGATAGTAGGGGTTGCTCTGAAGACTTATTGGGTGGAATACAGCCTTTTGGAGCCTCCAGTGTTTTGTGTCATTAGGAAGATGACCTGATTAAGTCCATCGGTCCATCAATTCTTTGACACCCAAATCATGATACAATTTGTTTTACTTCTTGGAATCTAGAGCATCTAATTGACAGACAGAGCATGATAGAGGCTGTTTGAAGCCACCAACCACAAAGAAACCTATCCGGACAAACCCAGAGTTCACCAAGAACTCACTTTTCACCGGGACGCGGTTTCACGCCAGCGTTTCTTTCTACAGGTGGAAGTGCAGGAGATTGCGGGAACGGTGCAAGCCTCGGTGCCCGACATGGCTGGTGCACAGTCGATCCGAAGGAAGACACTCATTGTTGTGCCGGAGGGCGATATGACTTCAATGCCGCCGTAATATGAAAGATTTACCTGCATTGGAGTGAGTTGTTCAGGTGCTTTAAGGGGTCCCGTAGTAGGGTCACTCCATTTCATGGATGGGTTTGGGATGTGCTGGTTGGGTGCTGAGGAGTTCTCTCCAAGATGGGTGTTTGTTTGATACTTGGTATCGGATGTGACGAGAAAGAGTCACCTTCATGGATTCCCACATCCGAACCAGTGAAAGATCCCGGTTTTTTCTCGGGGCAAAGCAACTGAAACATGTTGAAACATCAAATATATATAAATATCAAATATCGACGTGGAGCTCGTTGTGAACGCTTATAGTAAAGGAATCGAAAAGGTACTGCCTCATCGGGCCGCATCGGTTTAACGCATATCCCTTTGGCGTCACCGAAGACGACGCGATCCAACGGACTCGTCGACTCCGGTCCGGGATCGTCGTGGCACGTGGGCCCCACGTGGGGCCGCACCTGAAGGGCCTCCTATGGTTTTAGGCTGGGAGGTTCCTGGCGGTTTAGATATCGTTCATGAACTATATCATTGGGGAATGGCGAAAGGAAGCTTTGCGGAAAAATACATTATATCATAGCTTAAGTGGTATTCCAGTGGATCGAAGTGGTATTCTCTTGTGGCCGTGTACAACGATCAATCCAGCACGGAGACAGCGTGTCGGACGACCCCCGGGGAACCGCTGCACCGCACGGCGCCCAGGTGCATGTGGACTTTGGCCAGCGAGTGAAACAACGCATGCAGGACCTGGGATGACGCGGGGCCGCCCTGTTCGGTGGGGCTCGAAAAGGAAGTTTTACACAGTGCTAAGTCATGTCATCACTGTGTTTTGAATGAGTGATCTGGCAAAAAAAGGTTTATGTAAGTTCCAATTAATGCCTCGTGGTTAAGGGGATCGCCTCAGGGCCTAGGTGGAGCCTCCCTGCTGGTTTGCTCTTTGAATTTTCTCAGCAAAGTTGAACATCACCGCTAGCAACTAGCAACTGACCATCCGACCATCTAGAAAAAAAGCTATAGTTTTTATGATATATGTTGGGAAGAGCACAGTTTTTACACCTGCACACACTTCTTGACCCCCAACCATATTGGCAAAAACACGAGCTGCTCTTCCTCCCCTCTTCCGGTGTTTCACCAGATCTGGGGGCCCAGGAGAGCAGCAGGAAGCTGGGTCTGCAGCTTGGTGCCGAGCTGGCAAATGGGGAGCTGGTGGCCAACAAGCGGGAGGCGTGTATGACTGCATGGCACTTGGGTCTTGAGATGCCTGTGCAGAAGATGGGTTTTGGATGGTGGAATAACATGGGTTCGGTACATGTCAGGTGGTTGTATGACTGTGTGTTGCAGGTCTTGATGGGATTGTTGGAGGATTGTAGGCTTGCTACTTGGGCATCGAGAGAGAGAGGCTCATGGACTCGTCTTCTCTGGCTCGAGCCCTGCAGGCCTGGATGAAGTTTCTGCAGGACATGCAGCAGTTGCCACAAACCAAGCAGTGGGCCAATCGGAAGGCCAAGCAATGGGCACGTTTGGTGGGGTGGACTTTGAGTAGTCATTTGGGGACGCCGTTCCTGAGCTGACCGTGGTCCCTGGTCAGAACCAAATGTAGGGATTAAACATAGGTCTCATCAGTCTTCTAGATGCGGCAACTGTTGGTGAAAACAAGGGAAGAGACCTTTGTAACAAGGTATTTGGCCACTGTGGCAAGTAGAAAATAGGCGATAGATAGATGTGGTTCTTCTTGATCTTAAGGTGTGGGGCTGTATGTTTGTGCATGCTAGAGCAAAAACACAAAACATATCAAAACATGCTGTCTTCAGGCTGCATTTAACGGGTTGCTCGCTGGAATGGTGGTCACCAAACAGACAGAACTGTCTCCCCTACCACAGATAGATGTCTGCATTGCTAGATTGAAACCTGATCTGATTCAGCGGGATGAGAAAGGCAGCCGAGTGTCCCACTTTTCCACATCTTTGGCGGACCTGGAACCTCCAACTTCATGCTCCCTGGTAATTTACGAATTGTGCATTTTCCCTGATCTTCCCTCTAACAGCTCAAAAATCCTGAGCCGGCATCCGAACCAAACAGAGCTCCCAGCGGCAAGGCCCCCATTGAGGCCTTCTCGCCGTGGTTGGCGAAGTTCGACACTCGCAGCGCCTTTGGCAGCCATGAGGCCGCGCGATGCCGCGCGTGTCGATTCGCGTGGGTGTGGCGAATCGGACTGGGGCGTCGGTGTGGAGCTGTTGGCGTTTCGCTTTGGGTGCAACAGCAGTCAGGTGGAACTCAGTCAGAGCGAGGGGCAGAATTCCTTTTTTGGAGCCAGAAGAGGATCGCTGGGGAGTTGATGATTTCTTGTGAGACCTCTTCTATCCTCTTCTTATTCCAACGCTCAGACGTTGAACCTGAAGACGTTTGATGCAGGTTCCGTGACAAGATCCCCTTGAACACTCCGGACTCAGAGTGCTTCTTAGTTTTGATGGGAAGCAATGTTCAGATGCTCAACCGGTGTCCATTCCAATGACAGATGCTCCATTTGGCGGTACTTTGGGAGGCTGAGGCATGCTGAGGCAACCCGGACATGCTTCATCATTCTCATGGACATACATGCACTCAAGGCAATATTGTTTTTCTCGCAAACCCAACTTGGTGGGAAAGGAATGTAACATTTGCTGAGTCCTATTTTGGCAGAGTTTGCTTGATAGGGAAGCCTGACAATGCTCACACTCCGGTTGAGTTAGTGGTTCAAGTGGGAGAAAGAGAGACTTAGAGATGGGCACACATCAGTTTCCAACAGTTCATTGGAACTTCTGCTCTTGGAATCCTTGGAAGAGCTCAGGCTTTGATGACCGGATTATGAAGTGAGTAGAGTTGGCACCTGGTGGAGCCAGCAATTAGTGATCACCGTTGGCAACAAACACTCAAAGCCACTCTCGAAAAAGAACACTGCAAGACCACTCGCCTCCAAGGAGAATCCTGGTCTAAAACGGCTTGTTTTTCAGATCATGATTTGTTAGCGGCCAGGAACAGCTCGAGGTCCTCGGACAATACAGGCACCGGGCCGGCCCGGATTGACCTGCATGTGACTCTTGCTGCTAAGTATCTCCTATGCATTGTACAATATTGTACAGCAACAATATCATGAGGCTCTGTCATATAATGTCGTATATATATATATACATACATTCCAGCAGCAGTAGCCCAGCACCATACGTACCTGTAGCAGCCAAAAGGCAGACAGGCAGTCTCAGACGAATCCCACCAGGGTATCGCAAGAATCCCTGGTTACCAGCTCTGCAGACTCGCCGAACGACCCTACAAATGGATCGGTTTTTTTTCTTCGTTTTCCATGGTCCGAGGACCCGTGTTCGACCCTTCCTTTCCCCCGAAAACCTGGTTTGAACCCTCATCGCCATCCCCTTCAAGCGAGCGCTTTGGTTCGTAACGCAGGGGCTTGGAGCGTCCAGAGCCTCGAAGTCACGCGAGCGTCACCCGCTTCGGCCCTCAGGTGGGGTGCGGGGGATGACGCGGTGAAGCGTGGAGGGCGTGGTTTGGCGTGGTCGATGTGGGTGGAGTTGAAATCCATTGACATCACCTCACAAAGGTAGGGCGTTGAAGGCCCTGTTGCCAATACCTTACAGCTGACCAGGAACTCTTTGCCCCAAACATAGGTCCTTCTCTTTGGATTGATCGTGGATTCATAGCCTAAACCATCAAGCCCAAACGGCTGGTTGGTTTGTTTCATCGATCAAAGCAATCTCACCTAGGCCTGATGTCACAACGTCCTCAAATCCTTGGACCTTCCAACCAACCAGTCACTGCCAGTCACCTCTTAGACCAGATGGTGTTACAAACCTATCAGACCGAAGACACCGTCACCCCTGTTTGGGGCCGCGTGATCGGCGGGGTGTGCTTCGATCCTTTCTGCAGCTCCTCATCATGGCGTCCAAGCAGATGCCCAAGCGCTTGGCCCGGACACCGAGCTTCCGCGAATGCCTTCAAGGCACGCGTGTGCTGCGTCCGGTGCGCCGTTGGAGTCTCAGTCGACAGTGGAGAAACCAGGCACAAAAACGATCCCCCTGGGGGTAAAAATATGTAAAAATGATTCTGTTGTTTCAATCCTGGGGAGCTCCAACCAGAAGCTTCTGACGTGTCGTCTGTATTTTTTAGTCATAAGGGGGTTGAGTGTCCTTCTTAAGATTCTTGTAACCATGATCATCATTCGGAATATCTGAGGGGAATTCAAGATACAACTCCGCCGAAAGGGCCATTTGGCATGAAGACCCATGAACCTTCTCATTGATTTGTCCATGATATCATTTTCCTGGTTGGTCTCGTGCTAATTTCTGCAATGTTTCTTTTAATTGTTTTTGCTGTCTGAAAGATGGCCTCCCCCTCAAGGTCTGCCACATGGTGTTGTGACGAAACATGAAGAACCTTCGTGAGACGTCATTGATGGGAGTCGGAGCATGACAGGTTGTTTCGCTGGAGGGCTTGCAACACTTGTAAAGCCTCGCTGCGCGCTCCGGAACTTTCACAGAATCACTCAGCACCGCCGTCTCTTGAACGGTCAGTGGCCATACCTCCAACGGTGGCCATGTCTCTTGAGCCGTCTCTTTCACGTCACTCGCGTCCGGATCGAACCTGTTCGGATGTCAGACTCGTGGCCCCCTCCGGAGTCGATGGTCTCTGTCCGGAAAAGGAGTATGACCAAGCATGTGTTACGTCGGTAGCCCTTTTGTTGATGTTTTGTTGGCTAAGGATGGCTAGGTGCATGAACAGCATGGCTGAATAGCATGGCTCAAATCCAGTAGCATGGCTTTTTGTGATGCTCAGCCACGAGGTCATTTTGGGCAGCGACGAGCGAGAGCATTGGTTTCTCGTGAAAGGTGGCGAGGACCCACTGACGGCCAAGCCGTCGGGCAGACCCCATTAGATCACTGTCATAGGGTGGAGAAGGGTCTTACATTATAACATTGATACACTTTGATGATTCAGTGGTTCAGGACTGTTGACGATCAATAAAGCCCCCCTGAGGATTAAGCATCTTTGACTTTAGGAGGTTGATTCATGAGATCAAGAATCAAGAGTTTGTTCTTTGAGGTCGCAAGAGATTCTTAATCTGTTATTATAGAAAAAAGAAAACACAACAAAACATAAAGATGATGTGATGGCTTGCGTGGATTGTTAGGGCTGCTTGGGGCTGCACTTTTCTCGACCAGGACCCCTTTCCGGTGACGGACTTTGCTTCCGAAGGTGTTCGATTAGGTGTTCAGGGTCAACAGCTGCAACAGCTGAAGGTCAACAAAATTGGACCAACACATTTTCAGAAACAGGCTGAGCTCAACTTGTGTAGCATCGTGGCATGGATCGTCGGTCCATGACTGCTGAGCCGCTCGGCCTTTTGGGAAATCTAGGAGGACTTGGGGGCGAAACCTGTGATGGTTTTATATAATTATATGTTTCTGTGGATCAACCGTGTGTATGTGTTGGTGAAGAAGTCCTTGACATGGCAGAATCCTTTGAGGAGGAAACTCCCAAACTACTACTTGTTCCTCCTGACTGCTCACTAGTCACTGGTATTTGGAACTCGATCGTTTTATATTCGGGTACCCCTTTCTTGAGAGACTGACAGTTACACAGCCTTTTTGAGGTCCAGTCAAAGTGCCAAGTAGTTTATGTGGGCCAGTCAATTCTGTAGTTTCATCGTTTCGCCTAAAAGAAAGGATTGTCCAATGAATTTCTTATTGAAAAAACACTGTAGCCACTGAAGGATTGCCAGATTTCATTCAGGTTGCGAGCGATTCAACGCATCCAACGTCTAGCCATCCAACATCAAAAGGGTGACGCATCGACCGCCATCAACCCCATGCATGCTCGAACAAACACCACCTGGAGCCCCCTGCATGCCTTTTGGATCCATTCTGTTTCAAGGGCTGGTACCCCCGGTGTTTGCGCACGGAAGCACTTAGTGTCTGCCAAAGCCAATTCGGCCTACGCAGGACGTGCGCTTGGATGAGCGCGTGGAACAGCTCTTTGGCATCATCAATAGCATGGCTCCGGATGCTGCTGGGCTCAGGCGTATGGCCCGGTGTCCGATCTATGATCCAAGACTGGTCCAACATGGTCGAACTCTTAATTAAAAGAACAAACTGACGAAGTCTTCCGCCAAGCATATACGGCACGCCTCATCATGGAAAACCGGATTCCAGGGAAACCCAGTTTTCCTGTTAGGCTCAGTATATCAATGAATCTCATAATGGGTAGGCCAACCCCAAAACTCGGACTGCTCTCCACCATCTCCACCCACTGCTATAGATGGTAGAACCTACCGCTGCATCCACGCAGGGTCCGCACCTATTCGGTGATTCCGCTCTTCCCCGACCTGGGCGCATTGGAATGGGTGCGTGAGACGTCCGGGGTGCCTAGTGGGGACGGTGTTTGGACAGCCGAGATCGGCGGAGCGTTGGCGTCCCGCCGATGGGTTTTGGTATGAAGCAGTGAACAAACTGGTGCCATTCCGGATGATGGGATGGTGTGGGTGCTTTTGTTTTCTTGTTTTTACATAATGGAGCCAGTCTGTGGAGGTAGTTGACAGAAGTGACTCCAGCCACCGATCTGATGTTTGGCATATCATGTTACACCGTTACACCATGTTACGTCCTATTACCCCCATTAATTAATCAGCATACTATATGGCTATATCCTTTAAGCCCTTATCAGATCATCATTCAATCAGAGCTGGCCAAGCTGCTCAGTTGACAGCGTGTTTGGACAAGTCTATGAGTGCATTTGGCCTCGTGTTTGCTCGACTGAGTTCCCTTTCAGTACCTCTTTGGTCCACCAGTCCGGTCACCGTGTCCGGGTGGGTCATCTGCGACACTTCAATCGTGCGAGAGAAGGCGGAGCAGAAGGTTCTGCGATGCTTTGACAAAAGCGGATTTATTGAAGACGACTTTTTCTTGAAACCACCGAATAGATCCGATGGCAGGATATCTCGTTTGTGAAGACAACACTGCTTGGAAATCCCAACCTTTGAGCATTTGCACAGGTTTGTAGCTAAAGAGCATCCAGGCTGTACTACAGGGTTCCAGACACAGCGGTTTGAAGGTTCTGCGTCAAAATCCGAAAGGTTCCTGCATTGTTTAAGCGATCAAACACCAAAGATCAAGATCGTAACGACCGTCTGAAAAAGATGCTGAAGCTCGAGCCAGTTGTTTGGCCGTTGTTTGGAGATTTGGTAGAAGAAATTCTGATGTTTTCCCACCCCAAGGATCTGACATTGATGTTCACAGTTTACAGGGTGCCAATATCCCACCACACTTTGCCCCCAAATGGATTTTGTTCCCAGAGTCATCCAGACCATCATCCAAACCCATCCAGTGTTTGACCTTCAACGTTATTCCTGCTCAAACTCAACAGGTGAGAAGGGTCAGTCGAGGCATACTATTCAAAGGATATAATTTGTCCGCTGACGAAACAGCTCGCGTGGGACCTTGGCCAGGAAACCGTTGAAGGCCATCGTGCAAGAAACAGCTCGGGCGAAGGAGATGAACGAGATTGAGGTGTAGCGCCCGCACGGGACGTCACGGGACACTGACTTCGGACCGAGGTTCTTGGAGGTTCCTTGGGCTTTGGGGACCTGAGTTGCTTGGTACTTGAATCCAGAGGGATTGAATGTCCCACATCAGGGCCCACGGTATTTCTTGGTGTGCGCGCAGCACCATCGCAGATCTATGGCGTTCTTGTTTTGGAGTCTGGGCTTCTGTCAGCCCCACGCCGTAGCGAGGCACTTTTGAAGCAAAAGAACTGGATTCAGTCTCCACGCTCAGCTCTATCCTTACGGGTGCCACAGCTCTTTTTTTCCCACCAGATGCCCTGGCATTTTTGTGCCATTGCATGCCATTGCTATGATGGGACGCTTCTAGCGCATTGGCACTTACGAAGGGACTTCACAAAGCTCTTCCTATGAGTTGGAACGCAGAGTTTTGATAGTTTTGGGATATTCAAAGGCTTATTAGGCTGCATTCACGTGCATGTTTGTCATGTATAATGACTCATATGGGAAAGCATTCTGAGCATAGGGATCCCCCCACAGACTTTTCGGCAAGGCAAGAAGGAACTTTTGAATAGCTGGGGGTATCCCTGTTATACTACACACCCATTTAGCAAGTTTTAGCAACGTTTATTACCCACATCATCCACTGGAGGTGATATACCAGCCAGAAACATATATATATATATTATTTAATATATGTATCTGAACCCCCCGCCGTAAACCGTTTGAATCGTTGCTTCGTGATTGGTCTTCACCCCTTGACTCCGCTATGACGCCCATGGGACTCCATGGACTCGTCAGGCACACAAGCTGCGGATCGAGTGGTCGCGGCGCCCAGTGGGACCGTCCGGGACGTCGCTTCAGCCCAAGCGAGACCTCGCTGAACCGCGAGACCTCGCGTTGGCAGAGTCGATCGATGGGACTCAACATGGGGTTCAATTGATGAAAACACACATGAAAGGAAGTCCAGGACCTGGGTCTTTATCAAAAAAGTGTCGTTGTACCAGGCTTCACCAGGTGCGACCCACTTCGAGGGTCAGATTCCGACCCTCCACCTGAGCCCTTCGAGCGGCGCACCGCCCCGGTTTTTCCCAGGTCCAAGCGCTTCGGAGGTCAAGCGGTGCAGAGATATTCTAAGATTTTCGAGGCGCTGCCGGGCGGATTTGTGTTTCTTCTCGGGTGGATTTTCTGGCCGTGGCCAGTTGGACGCTTTTGAGGGCGCCTTTGTGTGATCGCTATTGGGTAGATCGACCTTGGACATTGGTCGAGCAACTTTAAAATCAACTGGAACTATAATCACACGTTCCTCCTACGTTTGTAGTATCAGTATTTTTTTGCTGGAGCATAATTTGGAAAATCGATCATTGCGTGGATCAAACACCCTGCACGATTTGCAGCGATTCCAAGGGCCTATTGTGAAATGCAAATTGCATGTTCTCACGTTAAGCGTGTTCAATTGGCCAAGCGGACTTGATTGTCCAACATCGTACAGATTGTACAAAAGTATTTATATATGTTATTACACCCCCTTGGCCACCAAGAAACTGGGGGTAGGGATGCACTATGTGATAATCAGATGTTTGTTGGTCATTGAACTTGTTGCCTTGCACGCATGCGCGCGCATCAAAAAGCAGCATGTTTTTGGCGCGCTCGCGCAGGCGATGAAACTCTGCAAACACACACGGTATTTACAGTACCCTTATTGGCAACGCCACCGATATCGGCGCTGAGTACTTTGCTGATGTTCATGGTTTTCACATCCAAGCTCTTCGCTCTCACAGTGTCTTTTGGGGGGGGTTGGGGTCACAGGGTGATGTCTTGCCAAAAGAATTGGCCACCGATGCCACGAGTCGCCCCCAGACTTCAATCCCGTTCTTGCATGGCAGTGGCGCAATGTCATCAGGTGTCAAGACTTGTGGGGACTGCCCGAAAAATTCGAGTGACTTACGGAAAAAGGTGCGATATGGCGGATGTCCAAAACTACTCAGTGCCGCTATCGGCGGCGTAGCCCTGTTTTTGCATTAGGGACCCAATGCTTTCGATCCTGAATCCTCAGCAAGTAAAGCAGGTGGTATTTACGGCGTTTTCTTGCCGTGGGATGCAAAATCATCTACCAAACCTCAGGAAATCAATCAGGGTCCCCCACTGAGTTTGGGAATTACTGATTGTTTTTCTGGATTACTTTATCAAATTTGTGTAACTACACAGAGGTATACTGATACCCCCAAACAAAAAACATCTAGAAAGCTTTAACCAGAAATGCTCAGACTCAACAGGGTCTAATAGGCAAATTTGGAGGGATTGGAACTTGGGGGGGCCTGACTAGTTCCTGGCAGCTGGGACAGTCGGACAGAAGAAAGAAAGACAGGGGTTAACCACTAGTGAACTAAATGTGTGCTGCAGGGGGCATGCTCCTAAGGAACAAGAGAAGCCAATAGAGATCATTCAAAAAAACAATATGAAATCCATTGAAATCTAACAGAGTACAATAGATGCAAAACATATGCAATACATATCAGATACAGCTTCATACACACAACAAAGAATATGTAGAATAGTCAAATAAACAAATATTGCATGTTTTGCTTGTTATTGTCTTTAGTGACAGATCAATCAGAGTCAGGTTTCATTCAGATCGGACCTCAGATCTAGGGAAAGCTGCAGAAAAGATGCGCGCAACTGTTAATATTAACCAATGTGGTCGTTGACGTCTCATGTACTTTGGATTTGAACTCTGCATAGGCTCAATGATTTACAAAAAAATGAGGTCAAGGTCCACTCTACCCTACCTATACTCAAACATCCCTGAATTAATCAATATTTTGTGTTTTTAATTCAGCACTTTGAAGTGGTTCATTTAGTTAGCTCAATTAGCAAGAACACTGTCATTTGCGACGCGCTTGCTGTCTGAACGTCGCAATCTTGATCCAACGTTGACCAAAAATGATCCAAATCCGCAACAAAACGCAATCTAGAGGCCACTCCAGAGGCCTAAACATGTTTTTTTTGGTGTGATTTCTTTCTGCTGGGGGATTGGTGATGCAGTTGGCGATGCAGAAGATGTGGGTCGGCGGCAGGGCACTCACTGATAGTATCCGTGAACCTACAGGGCCACTGGGGAGAAGGCTTGCAGCGAAAACGGAGGCGCCAGAAAACCTCGCAAGTTGGGCCAGCAGGGGGCTGAGTCTGCAGGACCACCCGGCGTTCGCACATTAAAAGGCCTCCCGGCCATAGGCCAAGCTCGGGTAGTCCCGCAGGGCCACAGGGGAGAAGGCTTGCAGCGAAAAAACGGGCGGGCCAGAAAACCTCGCAATCCGGGCGCCGGCCACGGGCCCGTGTCCTTGCCGGAGGCCTTCGGTGGTAACCGAAGGTTATATACGCTGGCCGCCCCTGCCGCCGACCCTTTTGTTGGACCGCGTGTATACCCCCGCCCGAAGCGTGTCGACAGATTTTTGTGTAATTTTTATGTTCTTGTGCAGGATGTTCGAAAAAGGTTCAAAAACATCGTTTTTTACAGTGTTTCGTGGCCTTCGGCGTCCACGACTGGGCGCCCGTGGTGTCGGTTATGCGTGCCGCGCGGACAGGCTTAATCGACATTTCGTTGGTGTTGGGCACATAAGTTTCCTAACATATCTCCAACATAGGCCCAAGATAGCCAACATATCCCCAACATATGCCCAACATAGCCCCCAAGATGGCTCAACATAGGGCCAACATAGGCCAACATGGGGCCAACATACGCCAACATAGGCCGAACATAGGCCCAACCTAGGCCAACATAGGCCTAACATAGGCCGACCTAGGCCCAACATAGGCTCAACTTGGGCCCAAGATGTGCCCAACATAGACCACGTGGGCGCAACTTGGCCCAACCGAGGGCCAAGATGCGCACCAGATAGCTTAACTTTGCTCAAGCTTAATCGACATTTCGTGGGCGTTGGGCACACGTCAACAGCAAAGGCGGAACATGTGCTCCGAGATGATCTGAAAGAGGCCTTCAAGAGGACCTCACCTAGTCCCAGCCTATGGTACACATAGCCGCAAGATGACCCGACCTAGGTCTCACATATGGGAAACATAGCCCCTAGGCGGGCCCAGATTGCCTCAAGATGTGGCAACAGGCCTCACACAGTCTTAACTGGGCCCAGACTGCCTCAAGATGTGGCAACATAGGCCTCACACAGTCTCAAAAAGAGAGAGAGAGAGAGGGAGACAGCGAGAGAGAGAGAGAGAGAGACAGAGAGAGAGAGAGAGAGAGAAAGGGAGACAGCGAGAGAGAGAGAGAAAGAGAGACAGCGAAGACAGAGACAGTGACTACAGAGAAGACAGAGACAGAGACTACAGAGACAGAGACAGACAGAGAGAGCGGAGGGAGAGAGGAGAGAGAGAGAGAGACAGAGAGAGAGAGAGAGAGACGGGATGGCAGGACATGTGCAAGACGGCTCTCCCGACTTCGGCGTATAGCAGGTATACGCCCGGGCGGTCAGCCCCCTTCTCGAGAAGGACGCTCCCGGGACGGTCAGCCCCCTTCTCGAGAAGGATGCTACCGGGACGCCCGAAGTCCCGGTCCCCGTCTTGCACAGGGAGGGGTTGTTCGGCCCCCCCACCGACTGAAGATGTAGACGGTGCGCACCTGGCGAGAACGAATTCGCGGACATTGCACTCTGCACGCATCGTTCACAGTTTCACAGTTTCTTGCAGTCTCATCGCTCTTGCGGCGCTCGCTGACCGGTCTTTTTTTACTGCTACAGCTGGTTGTTGTCATGAAGTTGACCGCGTGAGCGATGCTCTGGCGGAGGCTAGAGCGAAGGCGCAAACGAACCCAGGATCTGTGCGGTTGGACGCACGCGGCGTCGAAGGTTCGACCGCTTCTTTGGCTCTGTTTCGACCACTTGCAAAAGTTCCAACCCAAACAAGGCGGCCGCCCAAGGTCTCGCTTCATTTCGGCCCAGAGGAATTCGCAGAAGCGGAGATACCGCTTGCGCATCTGCGCTGGAGTAGCGGTCATGCAGTCAGCAATGGCGCGAGCAAAGAGCGGATGCTCGGGGCTGCACGCCAAGATGTTGCCTTGGAAGACATGCTCCTGATTCGCACCTCGGCTCATGATCAAGTGCGGCTGCTCCTCCAACTTTCCATCCAAGACCCAGTCTGCGATGGAGACCGCCTCGGCCGTAGTCTGCGCGATGCGCTGTCCCTCCGGCGGCGGCTGCGCGATGCGCTGACTTGCCTCTTCCGAGGACTGCGCGATGCGCTGTCCCTCCGGCGGCGGCGGCGCGATGCGCTGACCTCCCCCATCTGTGGGCTGCGCGATGCGCTGTCCCTCCGCTGCGGTCTTCGCGGCTGCTACCAAGCGGTTGCCCTCCTCATAGATCTCCCGAAGGGTGTCTTCCAGCGGCTGCAGCAAGCACATCTTGATGTCCATGTAGTAGCCGCCTTGCGCGTGGAGGCGCAGGTAGCGCCAGAGGTCAGCGCGGTGCGAGGCCTGTGTCCAACTGCGATACCTCGCCAACAGTGCTTCGCCACCCACTGCCAACACTTCTGCCTCGCAACTTGGGTCGTCCACAAAGTCTCGCCGCAGACTGGGGGCGAACTCTTGCATCATCCGCGCCGACTCGGGGTAGTCCGCGTAGCATGTCTGCCATAGGATCTTCGGGGCGGCCTTCAGACTGGGCGCCACTTGCGTCCACGGCAACTTCACGGCAGCATGCGCGGACAACACCTGCACGACCTCTGCCCATGTGCGCGAGCGCGCTAACCTCGCTGCCACGAAGTTCTCTGCCAAGATCTCCTTCTCTGTGCAGTTCCACCCCGCGCAAACCACCACGGCGATCCAGGGGTCGTTCGCCGCTGAGCGATGCTCTGCGGCACTGTCTTGCGCTGAGCGATGCTCTGCGGTTGCAGCGACCCCTCGCTGCGCTCGCATGTCCTCGAGCGTTGCCGTCACCAAGGTGTCCATGGCTCCAGGCGCCTCTGTATTCGAGAAATGCAGCTGGTCTTTTCTGTTCGCATAGGCTTTCCCCACCAGGCTGAGGATAGTGCGAGGTGTCTCAGGCACTCCAAAGCACTTCCTCGCCAACTGCAAGCCTTCATACTCTCTGCCAGGCACTGACTCCCGTGCAGGAATGATGCCCACCTGCGCCGCGTGCT